TAGGTTTGCAAGGTCGAAAATTATGGTAATCCAGCAAAAGTTCCATTTAACCTCATACATCATAACACAGAGCATATTCGACACCGCAGTACCGACGTTCCCTCACAAGCAACAAAGAGTTCAGTTCAAAGTGAGTTCAATTGAATTTTCACGCAATGCTAACAAGCAAGGGAAACATGAATCCATGAAAACTCTACGGCGCGAAGGTTTGAAAAATTACCTACAAACGATTTCGGTTTTGGGACGGGGTAAAATAGGCCAATTTTTTTACTTTTTTTAGGCTGATATGTCAAATGATTACTGGTAGATCATCATAAGAGCTGCTACCGAATAGCACCACAAAAATAGGCTGTTTACCACTCATAGTACAGTAGATGCCAGTAAAACAAGCTGGGTGTCCCCCAAGAGGCCCATTGCGCGGCGAAGGAAGAGACGCAGATGCGGCAAAGGACGAGTCGCAGCGCGTGCTGTGCGATATGAGACGTAGTATGGTACACTCTACTTAAACGCCTAACCGCTACAGTAGGCGACTTTGCCGCGACCAGGGTGAATATTGCTTGAGGATTCCTCAACGGCACGTCGAGGATTTTCCTGATCCTTTACGTTCTCGCGCGCGGATATTCACTCTCGCCACCCGCGAGCCGTCTGTGCTCTCCGCGCGTACATTCACTATCGGCTCTACTCTCGCACAGCAGAGAGCGATGGTCGAGGAATTCCTCGACCGTTATTCACCCTGACCGCGACTGCGTCTCTTCCTTCGCCGCGCGACGGGCCTCTAGGGGGGACATCCAAACAAGCCACTCTCCTCTACATTTAGTACAAATTAATTAAACGCTGCTAAAATAGAAACGTACGATCATAACCAAAAAGAGCACCTTCCAGTCTATCAGAAAACTTCATAATAGCTTTCTGCACCGAAGTCGTCACAAGAATCTGCCACGGGAATATGACTGACTATACCAGCTCAACGAGGCCTACCTGAACAAAGGAATCGTCCACGGAAAAGCTGTTCCTTTTCATCCGCTGCACTGCATCTGCCATGATGGGGGAGGGACCGGAAGTGATTTTGTGACAATGCCCGTGACACATTGTATTGAAACACGGGCCAAATTTCTTCGAAGGTTTAGTGACCCCGTTCACCTTTACGTTCTTAACACACTTGTGCCTCTTGGCTACCCGGTTGTGACACTTTTACGGCGGAATTCAAAGTTCTTTTAGCATCCCTGGTTGTCTGGACTTATATCAAAACCAACGGTTATTTTTCGTTATCGTTTTTTTTTTCGTTTATGCTATCCTTATGAAGCAACGGGGCCAAGGTATCACTTTCTAGTGAAGATGGAGGCGCGGTTTTTCCGGAAACGATTCCTTTGAAGCCCTAGTGACCGTTTCGTCGCGGGAAGGTGACCCTACCTTGCACTGCTGTGTCCAGCACTTCTAACATGGTGAAGGACTTTTATGGTTATGGTGGGTGCGAGTCCCAACTTTGTTTTCAAAGAATTACTGTACGCATCACGAGGTGCTGCTCCGAACCTGCCTCCTTCCTCTCCTCTACACAATTAGTGAAATAGGTATGAAAAAGCACAAGCAGCATTCTGGGCAAAGATCTTGAAAAGCATGGGTCGCGAGAGAAAAAGGAGTTTCCTAGAGCATAAAATAAGAAGTGCGAAAAGGAACGTTAGTGGGAGAAAAAGCGAAAAAGCACCATAGAAAACACTAAAATTCCCTTTGAGGCCGGCCGTGGTAGACGGAGAGACACAGCGCTGCGAGGAGAGGGAAAACGCGAGAGAACACGCCGTACGGGGAGGCGCAGAGGTCACATGTGCTGCATTGATAAGCGGTGCAGCGGTTGCAGCGGTAACGCAGAAGCATTGGCTCCCTTGTCGCGCAGTTTCAGGTCACGATAGTGCCACCAGTCCTGTGACTGGGGTCCTCCTACAATGGCTAAGGGAAGAATAACTCTAAGAATTTGATGGGAACCCGTGTCTTTAATAATCCCTCGTTCGCAGCATCCCATAACGTGCATGAACAACTTGCGTTGCCATACTAATGTAACGATGATAAGCTGTGTAAACGCCACCCAACCGTGACCGCAAGTATTACTCAGTTTTTCAGTATCCCGTCGCCTAGGCTAGCGTTTCAGTCGCAATTGAATAACTCCTTGTACAATCAGGTAGGACAATAATCTCACGGTGGCCTGTTCGCTTTGGATCCGGAAAGCTTCTCTTCCATTGCAACGTCGGAAGGAAGTGCAATGAAGCGGTGAACTGAAAACATATAAAGAATGGCAAAACTTGGAATCGATATCAGCAATATTGAGAGGTGTTCATACAACAAACAAGAAAGGGCGAACTGCAAGGAGATGATCATTGTCAATACAATGCGCTACGTATTCAACCTGAACAAAGGAATCGTCCACGGAAAAGCTGTTCTTTTCTCCGCTGCACTGCATCTGCCATGGTGGGGGAGGGACCGGAAGTGATTTTGTGACAATGCCCGTGACACATTGTATTGAAACACGGGCCAAATTTCTTCGAAGGTTTAGTGACCCCGTTCACCTTTACGTTCTTAACACACTTGTGCCTCTTGGCTACCCGGTTGTGACACTTTTACGGCGGAATTCAAAGTTCTTTTAGCATCCCTGGTTGTCTGGACTTATATCAAAACCAACGGTTATTTTTCGTTATCGTTTTTTTTTTCGTTTATGCTATCCTTATGAAGCAACGGGGCCAAGGTATCACTTTCTAGTGAAGATGGAGGCGCGGTTTTTCCGGAAACGATTCCTTTGAAGCCCTAGTGACCGTTTCGTCGCGGGAAGGTGACCCTACCTTGCACTGCTGTGTCCAGCACTTCTAACATGGTGAAGGACTTTTATGGTTATGGTGGGTGCGAGTCCCAACTTTGTTTTCAAAGTTTTTGCAAGGTCGAAAATTATGGTAATCCAGCAAAAAGTTCCATTTAACCTCATACATCATAACACAGAGCATATTCGACACCGCAGTACCGACTTCCTCATAAGCAACAAGGAGTTGAGTTCAAAGTGAGTTCAATTGAATTTTCACGCAATGCTAACAAGCAAGGGAAACATGAATCCATGAAAACTCTACGGCGCGAAGGTTTAAAAAATTACCTACAAACGTTTTTTAGGCTGATATGTCAAATGGTTACTGGTAGATCATCATAAGAGCTGCTACGAATTAGCAGCAAAAAAAAGGCCGTTTACTACTCACTATACAGTAGATGCAAGTAAACAATCCATGGGTGTCCCCAAGAGAGGCCCATTGCGCGGCGAAGGAAGAGACGCGGACGCGTCAAAGGACGAGTCGAGCGCGTGCTGTGCGACATGAGACGTGTATGGTACACTACTTAAACGCCTAACCGCTACAGATAGGCGACTTTGCTGCGACCAGGGTGAATATTGCCTGAGGATTTCCTCATCGGCACGTCGAGGATTAACTGATTCTTTACGTTCTTCGCCTGCGCGCATATTCGCTGGCCCCACACGTCCGTGCTCTTCCGCCGCGTAACTTCACTATGCGGCCTCTACTGCTCGCACAACAGAGGCGATGGTCGAGCGGAATTTCACTTCGACCGACGGAATTCACCCTACCGCGACTGCGGCGTCTTCTATCCGGTTCGCGCGCCGGACGGGCCTCTAGGGAGACATTCAAAACAAGCCCACTCTCCTCTAATATTTAGTTACATAACTAGAGAACGCCTTCGATCATTACCAACGAGCCACCTTCCAGTTATCAGACAAACTTCCCGTAATAGCTTTCTGCCACCGAAGGTGCGCAAGATCCGTCACGGGCGGAATAATGACTGACTATACCAGCTCAACGAGGCCTCGAGAAGATCGCGGATTCATTAAAAGGGGTTTTTTCTGAAACGCTGGTCGGAAGGGATCTTGCAAGGTAAGGGTTATCACTTTAGGAGGCCATCCAACACTTAAAACATTAAGAAATTCAGTAATAGCTTCAGGCCTGAGCCCTTATATAGGCTTCCTTGAGCACGTCTGTCATGAATGATGACGTCATATTCTAAAGACGGCGAGCGCGAAAGAGGGTCTGTTTCTGCTCATGTGGAGGGGGAAGGAGGGGAGGATAGAAGGAGACAGAAGGGATATTTCGCTGTAAAACTTCCAGTCACCGGCGGCTCCCTGTGCAACGAAAAATTTGGATATGCGTCATAGGCGGAATGACTCATTTTTTTGCTCCCCCCTTGTAGGTCCTCCAATGTAAAAGGCCGAGCTACACATTCCAGGAGACGATTGAAAAGTTCAGTGCTTCTGCTGGCTCAGGGCAATGGAAGACGTCGATGAGGTTGTCCCAATCAGTGACGTACCTATTAATGCACTTTATTCGCCTCAAAACTTGATCTCGCCCAGGTTTCAATACCGGATCGTGGAGCTCTCCACTTGATGACGAACCCAGGGTTTTCAGCGATTTTTTACTCAGGGATGTTCGGAAACGCTCCAAATTTATGGAGTGAGCAAAACTAAGCAATCTCTGATGGAAGCTGAATGAAGAAGTCGTCTTTCAATGAACAATGTCAAATCGAACTGGCTAACGGGAAGCATGTGCTTATTTGTCATCGCAAACGATAAAAACCCTTTTATGAGATTTGGAACTAGCCGGAGCATTCTATTGAATTTCCGGTTGTATTCTTCATTTCAATTAGTCTATGCTATGTTAAATAAGATACCTACGCTTCAGGCATAAGCTCTCAGGGGACTAGCCGAATAGGAAAAGATATAGGATTTTCTAGCTTTCCTATAATTGTTCTCCTTATCAGGCGCGAACGAGGCGGATGCTGACGGGTGACGTATCGCGATAGAGAGATTTCTGTCTCTCGCCAGGTTCATCAGCTGCTTTCCAGACTATTTTTACTCCTCGAGTTCATTCAACCAGAATGGGAGAATATCTCCTGAAACTCGCTGTAATGAGCAATCGGAGTATGCTTTCATTCATTTTCTTGAGAATAGGGGTGTTCGGTGGGTGTGGGGGAACAGCAGGGGGAGGGGAGCTGCTGCCGCACGATTGGATTTGGGATCGAACTCCGAACGGGACCCAACAACCGAAGCTCTCAGCAAAACTTCCCGAAGTTTTCATTCTCCGAAGATAGCTAAATGATGTAAAACTTATACGGCTAATATCGGAGAATAGAAACCTCGGAAGTTTCGACATGACGATGAAGGACAGAAAGATAAAAGGTGAGAGATCGCAAGCACAGAACCTTGCAGGCAGGCAGTAGAAACGCGTACCTCACTCAAATAGGCTTAGCTATATCGAAACATCAATGAATACTCGGCCTATACCCACTAGAAATAACCATGGCGTAAACTACACTCTTTGATTCACTTGCCCCAATGCACACGCGCCAAACAAAAAACGTAGGCTCGATAGTGATAAAGATGGTATGGCGAAAAGATATGGTAACCAATTGTCAAACAATTCCGAAGAAATAAATAAACCAAGAAGTTCAAATAATCAGGAGCCACACAAAGATTTTGAAGCGGCGGAACCCCATCGGGCTTGATTGGCTTGAATAGCGTAGGGATAAAATGGATGAAGATATGGGATGATAGATATTTGCGATGAGAAGATGCCGCTCGTAATGAAAAATCAGTGATAAGATTGGATTCAGCTGCTGCTTATGAATTCAATTTTAAATGATTACCAGATGAAAAGGAGGAAGGGCGCTATCGCAAGACACGCGGGTCATCCTTCAGATAAAGCCCAGAGAAGTGCGGAGGTGGACTGAAAATTGTCTCAGCGCTCTGTATCTCCTCACCTGGCATGAGGCTAAGTCCAATGCGGCCGTTTTCGGGAGCGGTTTAACAAACAGACGAGACTGTTCTAACGTTGTTCCACAATGCATCTGGTCACCGAGCTGCCTCACGTATCTTGCGAGTAGCGTCGGGAGTGTACAGCCTGCAGCGACGAGACTTCCATCCTTCTGGATACTGGTTGTTGCAGAAAACAGGCATGAACGAAAACGAAGGGGCTATTCACTGACGGGCTTGGATGACAAGCTGAGGGAAAGGCTCTATCCTATTCCAACGACAAACAATGGGCGCCCGGAACCACTTTTATTGCAGCAGACCACGGCCGGTGAAGTGATGCGCACTGGCTTTGGAGTTTTATGAAAATGGCACGTATTGAAAAAAACTGTCATATGCCTTTTCGAGACGTTTCTGAAAAACACAATCCAGCATGGTCGATCGCCTAAATCTTAATTTAATGGGAGACTAACACATAAGAAAAAAATCACCAAGACGCTTCTGTGAGTATGCTACCATTAACGAGAACTTTATGCTTCTGCCTTTTCTTGCCGGGACCTGCATGGTCTTACAATTCAAAACTTTGGACGCCACTTTTTGCCGGGGGAATCCTGATGGTATAAATTCAGAATTTGGACAGGTTCCAAATTTTTTGTGGTAGTATAACCACGAGCATAATGTAATATACATGGTGGTCATCGTCTGTGTTGTGCTGGTAGTTTACTGTAATTTGTTTTTACAGTACAGCCTTTTTATGTGAATATTTCTATTGATGAATGGATAGAGCCGGTTTTCGTTTGCAGTTAGTTTAACTTTTGGCAGGTAGGGACTTTTATCAAACACCACTGACGGGTAGAAAAGTTTTGAATTTTTCTAGAGAGTTGTTCTGAAGTTGCTCTTTGCTTTTAAGAGTTTTGCATGAAAAAAATGAGCTATGCTTTTAGACGAAAGGGTTTTCAGCAGATCCGCCGATTAGCTTCTTGCTCTGGCATATCTATTGCACGGAGAGCCCGCGTTCGCAGCGTTTAGAATGCCTTTTTTGAAACACCGAAAATCAAGCGGGTGCTACAATTCATTAATCTAGCGTTTCAAAGACTACTTTTTAGGTGGCCGCTCTTGCGCTTCGGTGACCAAGATCGGGACTCTGATGAAGGCGAACAGGGTTATACGTGAATCCGGTAAAAATGCTATACACTTGTAGGGGTTTCATCAAAGTATACACCCTGAAAAAAGCGTTCGGTTGCCAATGTTGTCAGGTCCAAGGGGTTACGGGGCAGCGGTCAACCAACGCGTGAGAGTCCAGACAGAAAAGCACATACTTTCTGCTCTTCTAGGACTAAGCCTTTTAAAGGAAGGAAAGAAATCAGAGACGCTGTAATAGTGTGCATATGCGAGAGTGCCTAGAGAACACTACAAAACGCTGAATCACCAAGACTCCCGGTTGACTGTTGCCCTTGTACGGTCAAAGTGGACAGTAGAAGTAATGCTATAAGCG